CACATCCCCCCACCCCCACCTCTGAAGGCAAGCATCACCTTGGCGATCCACTTAATCTCGTTGATGACTGGAATGGTGGCACAGCCCTGGTGGTTCTCTCTAAAACAGACGTTCCCCAGGTGCAGGATGCTGGCAATGATTCCAAAGAGATTCTAGGAACGTGGGAGGTGGTGAGGAGGATAAGGAGAGAAGCCACAGCCGCCTAATCGATACGTGTCATCAGGGGAGGCACCGAGAGACAACCACCCTGACTCCCAGCCCTGAGCTCACAGGTCCTTCCTTCCCCAGACCCCGGCCGATACATAGATATGTTGGAATCCTATTCTGGCCCTAGAAATATCAATAGTTTAGCCATACAAAAAAAGACCCAAAGATGTAGGATTTGTAAACAACGTTTTTACAAGTTGTCCGTTTGTTTCAAAATACAAGAGTAAATAAATAATTCTATGGGGATTCATTATCTACAAGAGTCCACGAGATCTAAATGTTTGCGATGGTACTTGAGGGGAAGGAGAAACATCACCCCCTCTTTCCCCACAACAGGCGGGAAAATGCAGGGCTGCCAGCAACACGCAGAGCCCCCGTCAACATGTGACTCCCACATAAGCAATGACTAACGTTCGGGTGTCAGCCAGTCCCGTGTGCAGTTGGGATACACTTATACCGACAAAACGAGTCCTCGCCTTGGCCGGGTGCCTCAACTGGTTGGAGCATCATCCCATATACCAAAGGCTGCGGGTTCCATCTGCAGGCGGGCCACGTACAGGTGACCCAGTGATGTTTCTCTCTCTCTCTCTCTCTCTCTCTCTCTCTCTCTCTCTCTCTCTCTCCTTTCCCTCCCTCTCCCTCAAGTCAATAAACATATCCTTGGGTGAGGATTTTTAAAATATACAAATAGTCATTGTTTACTTAAAATTAAGGTATAACTAGGCGTCCTGCTTTCCTGTTGGCTGAATCTGACCGCCCGCCCAGCCAGTCACCAGGGTTGTCCCCTCAGCTCCAGGCTCCCAGGGCGCATGCCCGCACCTCCAGGTCGTCTTCAGTGAAATCGATGACGGCAAAGGCATTGGAGACGGTTTTCCAGTCGTTCCTGTCATCCATAGACGACTCATTGGCGCCATGAGCCTGCTGACACAGAGTTGGGTTGCGGAATGGCACTTGTACACGGACAGTGAATAGCTGCTCCTACCCCAGAATGCTTTTCTCCACAAGCATGAGAGCGAGCGCCGGGTCTATAGGACGTTCTGAACCGTGACTTTCCCTCCAATCACCCAGCACAGGGTGACCTGCCAGCTGCTGCTCTATTCCGATGTATGTGGAAGTTTAGTTCAAAATCTCCATCCTGGGAAAACTTCCAAAGTCACATACTCGTGGTATTTCCTTTTGTGTGTGTGTTTTTAAAAGGGGTCTTCTGGCTATTTTTGCTTAAAAAAATTGAAGACACATCTCAATAAACACCTGAAGTGTAGAGGGACATGACAGTGAAATTCAGAAAACAATCCGGACACGCTTAGCAACCACCAGCCAAACCGTGACGGCAAGAGGCCCTCCCTCGTGGAAAGAACCGTTGGGCCTTTAGAGAGAAACACAGTCGTGCAAACACGGTCACCAGCAGAAGCGTTACGAGTCGTGTCTCACTCACTCGAGAAGCTGTCTTTTAAATAAGTAACAGATCGACCAGTGTCACAATTTAAAGAAAAAACATTCTAGATGAGGGCTTTTATTTTAAAAATTTTTTTAAATACATATGTTTTTTATTTATTTCAGAGAGGAAGGGAGAGGGAGTGAGAGATGGAAACATCAATGATGAGAGAGAATCATTGATCAGCTGCCTCCCGCACGCCCCACACTGGGGATGGAGCCCACCACCCGGGCATGTGCCCTGACTGGGAATTGAACCCTGACCTCCTGGTTCATAGGTCGACGCTCAACCACTGAGCCACGCTGGGGCCAAAGTGTGAAGAACAGTCGCTGGGCTGCCTGCAGAATGATCTGAGAAAGTTCTTAGGACACCCCATTGAGGGGCCCACAGACACCCCGTCCCCCCTCCGAAGGGCCACCGAAGCGGGGTGCGGGCTCCCCACCTGGGCCAGGTATCTGTACAGCTGGGGGTCTCGCTCCAGCCCCAGGTAGGCCAGCAGCTGCTCCTCGCCGCCCTCCAGCAGCTGGTAGAAGATGTGGAAGTTCCGCTCCCCGTGGTTCTGATAGACAACTCGAGACTTTTCTATCAAGTAACCGATGATGTGCCCACCGATGGGAATGCCCTTCAAAACAGGACCACAAATAAAATGTAAAAATGCGGCAATGACAGCAGTAACCAAGCCACCCTCTTATTGGTATTTTCTGAGAAGAGAAATTCTGAAGCGGAATGAAGTCGGATCTATCCGTCTCCCATGACTGGTGTTTCCGCCGGGCTCTGAAAGGATTCTTGCTTCCCCCAAGGTCATGAAGATGTTTCTATGTTTCTGTCCGGAAGCGTGATTGTTCTGCCGTTCATGTTTAGGACTATAATCGACCACTATGTAATTTCTGTATATGAAGTGAGGAAGGGGGTCAAAGGCCATCTGGATTTCCAATTGGTCAGCACCCTTTGTCAAAGACAACCCTGTTCCCATGGAATCACTGTGGTGCTTTTGTCATTAAGTCAAGTGACCTGTACATGGGGCTCTTCCTGGACTCTACTCTGGTCCACTGGCCTGTTTATATGTCCTTGTGCCAATATCACACTGTCTTAATTATGATTTTTAATAATTGATCCCATAAAGGATTTGTATCCCAGAACATGTATAGAATTCTTGCAAATCAATAAGGAAAAACACAGCCCAATTAAAAATAGGCAAAAGCCTTCAACAATGACCAAAACTTCATAAATAATCAGGAAGATACAAACGTAAGTCACAGTGAGAAAGCACTAACCCCACCAGAATGCCAAAAACAGAAAGGACCGACATCCCACACGTTGGCCGGGGGCGGGGGTGGGGGGAGCAACAGGAAGTGTCAATCATTATCACACATGTACCACTTCCGGGGACAGGCCCAACATGAATGAACGCTTGTGTCTACTAGAGACATGCACACGATGTTCGGAGCACAGTCTGCAATAGCCCCAAGTGTCCATCAACAGAACAGAAAAATGGCAACCAGGTCACACACCTGAAAAATGAACCGCCACCACATGCAACCGCATGACTGAACTGAACGGATAGAATGTTGACTGAAAGAAGCCAGACCCAAAATATAATTCAATTTTTGTGTCGGGCTTCTTATTGCTCCCACTGCCATACAACCCCTCATTGTGTGAACACCCCCCAACTGCACTAGCCACTCTCCTGTACACGGACATTCAGCCCTCCCCAGATGTGGGTTGGTCCCCTCACGCACAGTGCTCTGTGGGCTTGCTTGCACACCTGCAGGAGTGGACTGTCTCCACCTTAGATCCAACCTCACAAGATAATACAGGGTGGGGTGAGAGAAAGTTAACAGTTGTGAGTACGCAAAACAGAGTTTGTTCTTGTATTATTGAGTCAAACTGACTAGAGGCCCAGTGCACTAATTCGTGCATAGGTGGGGGTCCCTCGGCCTGGCCAGCAATCAGGGCCAATGGGGGCCATCTCACCCAGTGCGGGTGGGGGGGATAGGGGCCATGGGAGGTTGGCTGTGGGAGCGCACTGACCACCAGGGGGCAGCTCCTGCATTGAGCATCTGCCCCCTGGTGGTCAGTAGTCATAGCAACCAGTCAACTGGTCGTAATGGTCGCTTAGGCTTTTATATATATCAATTATTGTATTATTTTCCATATGCACAACTGTAAACCTACTTTCGCCCCACCTGTATATCGTTTTCCAAATGGGTTACACTAACATACCCCCCACTCCCACCTGTTAATGATCCACATCTTTGCCAACACCTGGAATTATCAGACTTCTTCATTTCCACCATCTATTCTAGAGCAGTGGTTCTCAACCTTGGCTGCACATTAGAATCACCTGGGAATCTTTTTAAAATCCTGAAATTCTGTTTCTTTGTTATGGGGTGGGGTCACAACATTAGTAACAAAGAAACAGAATTTCCAAAGGATGAGGCCCAGAAATCTGGATTTTTAAAAAGATACCCAGGTGATTCTAATGTGCAGCCAAGGTTGAGAACCACTGATCTAGATGGTCCCTCACTGTGACCTTTATTTGCATTTCCTAAAACAAGTGCAAATCTTGGAGTTCTCAGCTGTTTGAGCCAATAAGTGTCCTTCCTTCCTTAAGGTGCCTTGGGGTGGGTTTCCGTCGCTGGTGAGTGAAGGGGTCCCCGGGAACAGTAATGGGAACTGGAGTGTACCTTAAAGTCAAACTGTATGTCCATGTATTTCCCAAATCTGCTGGAGTTGTCATTCCGGAGCGTTTTGGCATTTCCAAAGGCCTTGGAATACAAAGTGGGGAGAGGGGAGCGCTGAGCCGAAGTGCCACTCACTGTCCTCTGAGCTCACTACTCGCATCCAGTTCCTGAGCCCAAAGGACATGCATGTTATGAGAACAGGAGGGAGGGGGAGCCAGGGGTGAAAGCTGTACTCTATCTCCTAAGGAACCGCTAACTACAGAGGATGTGACGCCAACTACTAGGGTTGGACCTAAACAGAAAAAGGGGGAAAGCGTATCTTCTCCCTGGAGTCCAATCCAGGAATAGATTAAAAATGGCCTCAGGAGAGGTGTAATATAGGACCCTCGGCCCTTGCTGTTCTAGAAAGAACAGTTCGTGGCCCCCATAACCAGACCCCTTCTTCTTCTGTCCTAAAGATAAATCATTCAGCCCAAAGGCCCACTGGGAAAACTCTTCCGGCATCTTTTACACAAAGGGCAACAAAAACACAGGAGAAAATAACTTGTTCAAAATTATCCAGCAAGTCAGTGAATTGCAAGAGTAGACATAACCATCCAAATGATTTTAATGAATAAAAATGTAAATAAATACTCAAGCATTATTTTAGTGCTTCTTGGTTTTGCAGTGTGCTTTTGATGCGCTCGTCTCATCTAATCCTCAAAACCTCCCAGGAGGTAACTACTATGAGTAGACCCATTACACAGATGGGAAAATAGGCCCCAGGACGTGAAATGACTTTCTGAAGCTTGCTGGTGCGTGGCTGCCCTGGGATTACCATCACGCCCGCTGGGCTTCAAGGTCATGCCCTTAACCTCAATACCACCCAACACCCCTCTTCTTAACTCCCAGACTGTTACCTTCCCGTTTTGACTGACCCGCTCCGGGGATTCTTCTTACTTAAGTGCCCTTCCGGGAACTCGCCTTGATCGGGCCTCCACGGTTCCTTACCTCCAGCACCGGGTTGGAGAGCAGCAGCCTGTCCCGGGCGATTTCTAGCGAGTCGGTCATGGGGCAGGTCATTGCGAAATACTGCAGGATCTTCTTGGAGGCCTCCGTTTTCCCTGCCCCGCTCTCCCCAGAAATGAGGATGAGGTGGTTGGTCAGCTCCGAGCACATCATGCGGTAAGCGTTGTCAGCTATGGCATAGCTGGGGAGGGGGAACAGAAGCGGAAGGAGCGGGAAGTGGCTGTCACGCTGCTGCCCCTGGCTCTGACGCCCACAAGGCACCCTGCCTCCAGGCAGCCACATCCAGGCCGCGGCACAAGGACACCGAGCCCAGGCGGAGATCAAACCCATCACAACCCACTCCCTGATCACACGGGAAGAGTACTAGATGGCAACGCTCAAATAGTACACGAGGTGAAGTGAAGAATTTGAGCGGTGACAGAAATAATAATTTAACAAATTTATTTTGTTTAATCTATCAACACTTCTTATAAAAATGAGCCAGATACTAAATTATATCCCCGAAGAGATGTTCTATGAGTTGTAGGTAAAAATAACAACTTGTCTAAATATTAAACAGTTCAATAGATGTAATAAGATCTCCCATTTTCTCTCAAAACCTAGGTTGCTAAAAATGTAGGGACAGCCCGGTCGGCATGACTCAGTGGTTGAGCGTCGACCTATGAACCAGGAGGTCACAGTTTGATTCCTGGTCAGGGCACATGCCCGGATTGCGGGCTCGATCCCCAGTGTAGGTCATGCAGGAGGCAGCCAATCAATGATTCTCTCTCATCATTGATGTTCCTCTCTATCTCTCTCCCCCCCTCCATTCCTCTCTGTAATCAATAAAAATTTTAAAAAGAGTGTAGGGACAGGAAACTAAAAAGATTTTAAAACCTCTGTGATACCTTTACAACAACAGCTAAAACTCTCATGAGGGATTTATCTCCAAGATCAGAAACCAAAGCATGAAGATCTCCCAAGACCATAATCTTTGCATGTGGCCGAGTTTGAAAGCTGGCTATTTCGGAAACCATTGGTGGTAGTGATGCGGAAAGGTTTATAAGCGCCTTGGGAGGTGAGAAAACGAGTCCCCAAGAAAAAATGGAGGGAGGACATAAATATTAGCCCGGAGATCAGCCAGGAAGGAGAACTAAGAAAGTTAGCAAAGCCCAAATCATACAGGAAACTGCTAGCCTTAGGGATCTGCAGCCCTGGTTAAGTTTCTACCCACGGAGAATCTCCTTAGCTGCCATGACACCCAGGCACCAGTAGATGGAGCAGTAGCAACCCACTTCCCAGAGAAGACGCCTCTCTAGCCACTCTTAGACTTCTCAGCATTTTCAAAGGATTCCACCTCTCATCGTATTTAAGCTGAGATTCCACAATGATTTGCTGATGTTTTCCACTGTGTTGAAAGATTTATTTTACAAGGCAGCAGATACAGAATGAGTGAGACACAGAACGCAATGAGTATGTGTC